ATTTTTTTGATTTATTGTAGAGATGAGGTCTCGCTGCCCAGGCGGGTCTCGAACCCACGGGCTCAGGCAATCCACTCACCTCAGCCTCCCAAAGGCGCGGGATTACAGGCTGAGCCACTAATTTTTTTGATTTATTGTAGAGCCACCACGCCCGGCCCTTTATTTATTTATCTATTTTTGAGTTGGAGTCTCACTCTGTCTCCCAAGCGGGAGTGCAGTGGCATGCTCATGGCCACTGCAGCCTGGACCTACTGGGCTCAGGTGATCTTTCCACCTCAGCCTTCCAAGTAGCTGGATCTACAGGCACGTACTATCACGCCTGGCTAATTTTTGATTTATTGTGGAGATGAGGTCTTGCCAAGTTGCCCAGGCTGGTCTTAAACCCGTGGACTCAGGCAATCCTCCCACCTCAGCCTCCCATAGTGCTGGGATTATAGGCATAAGCCATCACACTCATCCAAGACCTCATCTTCATAAAATAAATAAGTAAATAAATAAAACAAGCTGGGGGTTGGGTGGTGGTGGTGGGGTGTATGCAGTGGCTCACATCTGTAATCCCAGCACTTTGGGAGGCAGTGGCGAGAGGATTGCCTGAGCCCAGGGGTTCAAGATCAGCCCAGGCAACATGGAGAGACCTCATCTCTACAAGAAATAAAAAATTAGTCGGGTGCAGTAGCACACAGTAGTTCCAGCTACTTGGAAGGCTGAGGCAGAAGGATCACTGGAGCCCAGCAGGTGGAGGCTGCAGTGGCCATGGGCATGCCACTGCACTCCAACCTGAGTGACAGAGTAAGACTCTGACTCAAATAGATAAACAAAACACCACACAAAGGGCCCTTAAACATCAATAACGGCTCAACCACATTCATGAAGAGAGTGATGCAAATCAAACCAGACTGAGGCAAAAAAAAGTCTTTGTCTATTAGATTGGGCAGGTGTCGGGAACCAGCACCCGCATATGTTGCTGGCTGGAATGTTACCTGAAGCCACCTCTTTGGAGAACAATCTAGAAGTATCAATCAGAATTACATATACACTTTACCCTTATACTTCTAGGCATGGTCCCAAGTGCCGGAGTCCAGCTCCAGCAGGTCAGGGTTTCCTGAAAGAAGGACAGCATCGCCACAGGAGAACACTTGGACACTGACTCTGCTGCAAGCAGGACAAATGCCAATTTATTGTCTTTTCCAACTCCTTTTATACCCTACATGTTTTTTGTTTTCAAGGCAATCAGTTACAATTTAATGGACTGGACAGGCAATGTATCTTTGTTCAACCTCTTTTGATCTTAAAACATTATCATCCTAAACTATAAATTTTATAAACTTCTAACATTTTTAAATAATTACCATTTCTTAATGTCCACACAAAACTTACTTATTCCTATAACTATTACTTTATAAATCACTACCAAGTTCTAAGCACTATAATTATCACATAGATTAACAAGTCACACCTGTAACCTTTACACAGCAATTTGCAACTAGCTGGGGTAAAGCAACATTTTCTAGGTTTCTTAGCTGCAAGTTGGCCTGATTAGTTTTCCCTAATTTCACACCTGGTGTTTACAATCTGCATTAATTATTTCCTGCCAGGAAGAATGAGCTTCAATGTTTGCAAAACAAAAGACCTCTGGGCTCAAGTCACCAGAATTACAAGCCTCCTTAACAAAGGGAAGTAAAGGCAAGGGTGCTCTACTATTTATGTGATTGTTAATTTTTAAGCATAATACACCACATGCAGAAATTAAGAAATTAAGTAAATATAATTTTTGCATTGGCACTCTTCCTAAAAATACAAACTATAGCTTCTCAAATTTCTCCAATAGTCGCCAATCAGATGAAATAAAATCTTACAAGTAATTATCTACCTGCACATGATATTTAAAATCTCTATCAGCTGGGCTCAGTGGCTCAGCCTGTAATCCCGTGCCTTTGGGAGGCTGAGGTGAGTGGATTACCTGAGCCCATGGGTTCGAGACCTGCCTGGGCAGTGAGACCTCATCTCTACAATAAATCAAAAAATCAGCTGGGTGTGGTAGCGCATTCCTGTAATTCTGGCTACTTGGAAGGCTGAGGCGGAAGGCTCACCGGATCCCAGCAGGTCGAAGCTACGGTGGCCGGGAGCGGCCACTGCACTCCAGTCTGGGTGACAGAGTGAGACTCCATCTCAAAAAAAAATCTCTATTGATAATTTCCTGGCAAGGCCAACGAGTTTCCTGACAAACATTAAATCGAGCACTTTCTGATAACAAAAGTAGAAGAAGCAAGGGTCTCAGCTGTCCAGGTTCGCTTTGTGACCTGGAATCCTCAGCCCCCTGGACTTTGTCAGCAGGAAGGCCTCCATGGCTGACTCCCGACACCCAAGGATATACTCATACATGTGACATATGTCTGAACAGGCTATGGATTGCAGCCCAG